ACACATACATACACCTATGCTGTACATTCTACAAGATTGATGGACTGAACACATCGACTCCAGGTTGAGGGACTGATTACCTCATTCTCCTCCTCTCCTTACGCCTTCCTCTTTGTATTGGACTGATGAAGCCACTGTGTGGCGAAACGTTTCCTGAATAAAGATTTCCATATGCTGCATAAGTGTCTCAATCTTCAACTTGTCGGTTTTTCAAACCATTCATCATACACATGAGTAAAAGGATATAAAAGCTATTACTTGGGTAACATAAAAATAGGTTGGACAAATATAAACTGGAATGAGGCAGGTTGTTTCAGTGTTCACTCTCTGTGCTTTGTGTAGTATAACAGGAGAGACTATGTGATGGCAGGGTTTACTGTTTTCAGGAGGATTCTTGCTAAGACTTCGGAGATGGTGAAGCTGCCGTTGTTTTGTTTAATTGTATTCGAAACAGCGATCAGTGCTGATTCGAGGCACTTGCGTCTGCGGAAATTAGTTTCTTTGATCACTAATTGGGCGTCTCTGAATTTCATGAGATGACTGGAGGAATTTCGGTGTTGTACACAGGCGTTGTTCAGGTTATCGTTCCTACATGCGTAAATGTGTTCATTTACCCGCCTCAATGAACACATTTACGCATGTAGGAACGATAACCTGAACAACGCCTGTGTACAACACCGAAATTCCTCCAGTCATCTCATGAAATTCAGAGACGCCCAATTAGTGATCAAAGAAACTAATTTCCGCAGACGCAAGTGCCTCGAATCAGCACTGATCGCTGTTTCGAATACAATTAAACAAAACAACGGCAGCTTCACCATCTCCGAATCTTAGCAAGAATCCTCCTGAAAACAGTAAACCCTGCCATCACATAGTCCCCTCCTGTTATACTACACAAAGCACAGAGAGTGAACACTGAAACAACCTGCCTCATTCCAGTTTATATTTGTCCAACCTATTTTTATGTTACCCAAGTAATAGCTTTTATATCCTTTTACTCATGTACGAATTAATTGCTTTACCATATTGTATTACTTTTGTCACTACCACTACTACTACTACTACTACTACCACTAGTGAACATCGAAATAGTACCTCACTAGTATTCACCTCACTCTGAGCCTTTATATACCCTCTGTGTCCATGTATTGTTTGTAATGACTTGATAAAGCTCCTGGAGAGCGAAACGTTGCCACAATAAATGTCACATTAGTTGCACTTGTGTCCTTTTACTTTACGTATGAAGATAGACTTAAAGCCTTAAATCTCCACTCTCTGGAGAGGCGTAGAATGAGGGGAGATATCATTGAAGTGTATAAGTGGATGACGGGCATAAACAAGGGAGACATTAATAAAGTACTGAGGGTGTCGAACCAGGTAAGAACCAGGAATAATGGATTTAAGTTGGATAAGTTTAGATTTAGAAAGGACATAGGTAAGTACTGGTTTTCTAACAGAGTTGTAGATGCGTGGAACAGTCTTCCCAGTGGGGTGATAGAGGCTAGGACCTTGGGTAGCTTTAAGAAGAGACTGGACAAATATATGAGTGGGAGGGGCTGGGTTTGATTGGTGTTGGGGGGTGCGGGAGTTGTTTCTTGAGTAGCTTTAGGTAGATGTCGTTTTGATAAGGACCTGCCTCGTATGGGCCAGTAGGCCTTCTGCAGTGTTCCTACATTCTTATGTTCTTATGTGATAGAGGTTAGGACCTTGGGTAGCTTTAAGAAGAGACTGGACAAATATATGAGTGGGAGGGGCTGGGTTTGATCGGTGTCAAGGGGTACGGGAGTTATTTCTTGAGTAGCTTTAGGTAGATGTCGTTTTGATAAGGACCTGCCTCGTATGGGCCAGTAGGCTGGGTTTGATCGGTGTCAAGGGGTACGGGAGTTATTTCTTGAGTAGCTTTAGGTAGATGTCGTTTTGATAAGGACCTGCCTCGTATGGGCCAGTAGGCCTTCTGCAGTGTTCCTACATTCTTATGTTCTTATGTTCTTATGTAATTTCTAAATTTGTAGATGAATGGTTCAGAGAACCGACATGTTGATAAATTAGACACATGTGCAACTCTTGGGTATCTTTATTGAGGAAACGTTTCGCCACACAGTGGCTTCATCAGTCCATACGTAGGAGAAACTTGAAGAACAGGAGGAAAATGAGGTAATCAGTCCCTCAACCTTGAGTCGATGTGTTCAGCCCATCAATCTTGAATAGAATACGGCATATGAGCGGAGAAGCAGCTTATAAACCGTATGGCAGGAGAGGTGCAGCAGTCATAGGTGGTGTCACATTTGTTCAATGTCCATCGACTCAAGGTTGAGGGACTGATTACCTCATTCTCCTCCTGTTCTTCAAGTTTCTCCTACGTATGGACTGATGAAGCCACTGTGTGGCGAAACGTTTCCTTAATAAAGATACCCAAGAGTTGCACATGTGTCTAATTTATCAATTTCTAAATTACAGACCTAAGACAGCAAGCGTACATAATAAGGAAAACAGATTAATGGAATTTATATCAAGAAGTATAAGAGTCCCTTTATTCTTATGTTGTAATAATAGAATCAAATTTGATAAATTTAGATTTAGAAATGATTTAGGAAAACATTGGTTAATTAAATCTAAAATCCTTTGCATAAACACTGGAATGAGAGGGGCTTAATTTGAGAAGGATCCACCTACTTGACCTGGCTGTGCTACTGAGGTCACCTGCATTAAACCAGTCATGATGCCCACTCAGTGGGTATATAAGCCGCCCAACACCTCGTGGGTTTCTTACAGTATTGGAAGTATCTACATCACCAACGCTTCATACAGTGGTGTTGCTTGTATCCAAGATTTTCATTGAAGAGATGAATTATCGTAAACCAGTTTATTTTCTTTTATTCTTAGCATTGACTGGTGAGTGTGTTAAGGGATTCTACGTCTTTCATAAATATGTGACTTCAACTTACCGCTTCAGGCCAATGCATATAGAATATAACGAAAACGACGACACTACGACCTCGTATTTTTCGAGTTTTTTCCTCTACCCAGCGAGAGTATTTGCCCGAATTTTGGCACGGGTAGGCCTGGGTATGTCTGGCGACTATGGCAGGCTGTGGAATCACACAAAAATGGTCTTCACGGGTCAAGCTCCGTTTCAATGGTTCGACGACTATAAACCAGTCCAGCCGGTTACACTTCCTGAAAACCCGAGGTTCCTGGGTTAGGGAGGAGTAAAGCTAATCAAGAGGTAATTGGGTTGATCCAAGGAAGAGTAAAGGAGATCCATTGACCAGTATCAAGGCAACTCTCCCTTTATCTCCCTTGAAAGAAGCAAGTCTAGAGAACGTAAATTCAGTCCTATAAAGCTAAATAATATTGGAAATTCGTGACATCCTCACCGACTCTACTGCGATCACCTAAACCATTATAAGCAGCTTGTTGACGCTAAATATGCATGACAGTCGTCTGCTTAGCTTTAACCATCTAAAGGATAATAGAGGAACACGACAATTTTTGTTAAATGTCGTCAAGCCTTATTTTCACTATGTAAATTATACCCACATCTTCCGATGATTTTTTATATTGCTTTATAAATAAAGAATTTATTTGATTGGATTAATGTTTGTATTTTGTAAGCTACCCTAGGTAGTCACGGGGAAGTGTTACATCTGTAGGAGCCCTGAATGTCTTGTCACCATGACACCAGCAGCGACACGTCACTCCTATGACCGTCTTGAGTTATCCAGAGTGAATTATGTATGCAAGTTGCAATCACATATGTGTGATAGCTGTAATCACCTGCTGTGTTTTTTCTCAAAGAAAACATCGCATTGGTTTTTAGGATGTCAAATTTTTGCGAAATTTAGTAAAAAAAAAAATTTCTTAAACCCCTGTTTCTCAATTTTGCTATATACTTCAATGATTGGATATTTAACAGCATTAGGAATTTCTTTTGGAATATGTACTTTTCCTTTCGCATGACTGAAGCTCGGGGAATACGGATTATAATTATTATTATTATAACCAGCACTAAGCGCTAAACACAGGACCTCATTTTCTCTCTGCCTTGGAGACTAGTGACTTACGATTCTTCATCTTAAAATAAATGCTAAATATCATTCTTTTAGTTACCTTTAGTTATCTACAGAACAGTGAAACACGACGGTAAATTATGCCCACATTGTCAGATGCTCTTTCCTTCTTAAATATTTAAAAAAATATATGATTTATTTCTATTCTATTTTTCAAGGTGTATAATACCGAGAAGTTGATGCATGAGACGCCTGTGCGACAGTTAGATATCTTTATTACTGAGATATTTCGCCTGCGCACCAGGTTTCTTCAGTCGAATACAGAGGTGGCTAACATACTGAAAACAGTTTGTTGTACAGGTGAAACATCTCTGTAAGAATGATACCTAAATGTTACAAATGTGTCTTATGTATCCATCAAACAGTCTTTAAGGAGGGAGAGGTTAATAATAATAATAATAATAATAATAATAATAATAATAATAATAATAATAATAATAACAATATCTTTATTTACTACAAGTACCTGTACAAGGTATACAGACCATAGCTGGTATCAACAACATACTACTATATAGAAAGCTCCTTGTTATGCTGAGCACTTCCCACAAATTAGGTCAGTTTCGTCCCAGGATGCGACCCACACCAGTCCACTAACACCCAGGTACCCATTATTACTGATGGGTGAACATAGACAACCGGTGTAAAGAAACACTAGCTGGGAATTCGAACGCAGACCCTCGCCGTGTGAAGTGAGACCCTTAACAATCAGGCCAAGGGGCACCGTTACTAACCCTTCTTTACAGTCATATGATGGTGATTATAACTGGACAAATATATATATATATATATATATATATATATATATATATATTATATTATATATTATATATATATATATTATATATATATATATATATTTTATAATATATATATATATTATATATATATATATATATATATATATTAATTAAGTATTCTCCGTTCACTTGACTGACCGGTACTTTCTGTAATTCACTTATTTTCTGACGTGACTGATAGGTACTTTCTCTGTTTCATTGTTTCTGATACGATTGATAGTTTTTCTCTTCACATTAAAATCCACCTGATTATGGGTTTAAAACTTCCAAAAAATATGTGCCTCTGTAATATAATGACTATACCATCCACATGATGGGTATGAGAGACATTAAAGCTATCAATAACAGCCTGGTTGATCAGGCCCTGATCCACCTAGAGACCTGGTCACGGGCGCGTTGACCCCCAAAAACCCTCTCTAGGTATACTCCGAGTATCACATCCACTTAATTATAAAACCAGATTTTAATGACACCATTTTTTTAGAGTATTTCTACGATCATTCTGAGTTGCCGACTTGACATCTTTCACAGTTGACAGGTCAATCCCAGTTATATTTTTGACCATTTCAGGAACACTGTTGGCGATACTGACGACTTCCTGAGTCATTTTAAGTGCTCCCAGAGGTGCGTCTCCCGTGGACACCATCTTTACACTTTTTGTCTTCGATAGCAAGCTGCTTACATTATGCACCATCTGTAGAGAGAAACACCTTATTAAACGCTGTTAAGAACACAATCTGAGAATAGATCGTCTCAGGCACAGGTATAACATTAGCAATCCGTAATATAAAACAGAATCTATTTACCATATACAGTATATATCGGGTAATATTTTGCGCACTGGTTACTTTTTCCAGTCCAGTCATAAGACTACAACTACTCCTTCCCCCAGTGGGCGAAACGTCTCTTAATATATGTCTTAAGAGTTGAATTTGCGTCTTTATTCCAGATATCATTTATCAAATTTATTGAACTTGTTTTAACCTGACCTAGACACAAAAAAAAAATGTGAGGAAATAGGAAGAAAGAAATTCTGAAAAGAAAATAGTACAGAGTAAGGTCGTGACACATGAACTAAATGTTAAGGGTAAAATACAAAGAACAAATAACATTGGCAAAAATCACTGAGGAAGAGGAGGAAATGTGTGAGGTGACAAGAGTTTCGGAAAGTGTTGACAAACAAGAAATCTTTCACGAACAGACAACTGAATTAGAGGATACTGAAATAACCCAAGAAGAAGTTAAGAAATTGTTACTAGATGATCACAAGAAAAAAAGCTACAGGACCAGATGGGATAGTACCTCTGGTCTGAAAAAATACGCAGAGGAATTATGCCATCTACTTCTGGAAAGTTTAAGATTTCATTGCACTACAGAAAGGCGAATTAGCAACCTATGGAAGATGGCACACACTGTGCCTATCTTTAAAAAAAATAGTGACGAGGAAGACCTTTTAAACTATAGATCTGTTCCAGTGGCAAGTGCTGGTGTGAATTTATTAGAAAAGGGCATTAGAGAAAAGTGGATTCAGCACTTATAGAAAAATAAACTATCTAAGACTTTAAACAAGATTTTGATAGTTACCCATGAAAGATTACTTTGAAAACTGTAAATTATGAGAGGATTTTAAGCCACATTATTACAATGACAGATTTTTTATTTGAGTGACAACGAGAACAGTTATAAAAGAAAAAAAAACGTCTGCAGTGGAAATAGTGAAATTCCAAGCGCTTTCGTGACTTCTCACATTATCAAGGAACTTGGAATTATATATATATATATATTATATATATATATATATATAATATATATATATATATATATATATATATATATATATATATATATATATATATATATATATATATATATATATATAAATATATATATATATATATATATATATATATATATATATATATATATATATATATATATATAAAATATATATATATATATATATATTATATATATATTATAATGGAGGTACCACCTCTAGAACTGTCATGGGGACCCTCATCCTCAGAGAAAAGAATAAACTTGCTTCAGGGAAAACTCAAGATTTTCCCTGAAGCTGTTTGAGAATTTTCTCCTGCCACCCCCTATATTTCAAGTATGTTTTATTTAAAGACAAAAATACATTGGCCAAACATTCACAAAAATACAACAGAAAGTAAAACAACATAGCTGACTCAGAGCTACATCTCGAATACTTCGTCCAGCTCCCCGGCGGTGGGCCGCGTGCCCAGAATTCTGCAGGCATTTCCTCTCTGGATCGCAACACTGAGTCTCTGAAAGAGAAAGCTGGTCGTCCTGTGGTCCTTGGTTTCTATGATGAGTTTTTCACCCAGCTCTTTGAGGAACTTTAGAGCACACTTGCCCCATGCTCCAAGGGTCTCCGACCCTATTGGAATGAAGTTATAGCAAGGGGTAAGGTCTTCATATTTTCAGATCTTCTGGGTCTCCCTGTGGCTGGCAGCTCCACCCCCTTCCACTACGGAGTATGGCAAGTAGGTGTCTGCCAATGTGGCAGCACAGGTGTAGTCCCAGGCAATCTGCTTTCCATCCTTCCAGGGTAGCATAGTGGCTCCATCAGGACGCTTTTGACTTCCATCAGACCTCTGTACTTGGGGTTCCCGTTGAGCTGGGCAACGGGCTGTGGCGAGGCTTCTTTTTATGATGTCATTGACTTCCTCATGTCTGGCATACTTCCCTTCTGCTGTGTGACACACAAGACCATGAATTCCGAATTGATCAGCTGTCGCCCTGCCGCAAATACACCTATGTTCGGTGAGGATGGGGGCGAATGGCCTGTGGGTCGAGACGGGTGCCCAGGGAGGAATTGTGAACAGCTAACAGGAAATCTCCTGAGTGTGGTGCCTTCACTGCCAGGAGACGAGCTTCGTCCTTTCCTGAAGCATTGGAGAGCATTGTTGGCGATTTTTTCCCTGATCGGTTTGTCCCAGTGGGACTGTTTGTGCTCTTTGGGAGGAGCTGGTCTACTGGAGGAGTCTGTAAGGGTGTCCCACCGAATCGCTGCTTCAGTAAACCTGGGGTCTTGAGCTTCTACCATGTCTCTCAAGCGTTCGGGTATTATCTTCTTGACTAATGCACTGGAAGCTAAACACGAAGACAGAAAAGCAGGTAAAGCAACATGCGTTGCTTTACGCACCCCTATACCTCCCAGTCGCACTGGGAGGGTTGCCTGATCCCATTGCTCATCCTCTAGTGACAGGTTCAGTGCCTTCTTAAAAGTTGATCTCAGGTGTGCGTCATATTCATCGAGTGTTGGGTTGTCAAAAGAGGGTGCACACCTCAAGAAGTGAGTCTTGGCATAGTAAGACACCTTGTGAGGAGATACAGAGCATCATGGGCATCAAGATCGCTTATTCTCTCCTCCATTCTCATCAGGTCATTCAATTTGTCCCTGAGGACAGTGTCGATGGCCTGGTGACCCAGCAGTGCCCCCAAGAGGGTACTGTTGGAAGGAGTGGTAGTTGAGACTTCCAGGAGGATTCTTCGCACAGCATTAATTGTTTCCTGGTTCGCTGTGATGATTTCGCACTTGGAGGGATTGAGGATGAGTCCCAAGTCTTCTCCCTGTGTGTGTGTGTGTATATATATATATATATATATATATATATATATATATAATATATATATATATATTATTTTTTGTGAATGTTTCGTCAATGTATTTTGTCTTTAAATAAAATATACATACATAATATAGGGGTGGTAGGAGAAAATTCTCAAACAGCTTCAGGGAGAATCTTGAGTTTTCCCTGAAGCAAGTTTATTCTTTTTCTCTGAGGATGAGGGTCCCCATGACAGTTCTAGAGGTGGTACCTCCCTATATTATATATATATATATATATATATATATATATATATATATATATATATATATATATATATATATATATTTATATATTTACATATATATATATATATATATATATATATATATATATATATATATATATATATATATATATATATATATATATATATATATATATATATATATATATATATGCAATAAGATCACAGTGAACAGGTGATTTCAAAATATGCAAAACAACCACTCTGAAAGAATAGAGAAATTCGAAGCGCTTTCGTGACTACTCACATTATCAAGGAACTATAATGTGAGTAGTCACGAAAGCGCTTGGAATTTCTCTATTCTTTCAGAGTGGTTGTTTTGCATAATATATATAATATATATATATATATATATATATATATATATATATATATAGAATATATGCAAACAGTCGCAGACAGGCGATCTTAACTATGTAAGACAAGTCACAGGGGGTGGAAATCTTTAACTCAAGTACTTTCACACTTCTCAGTGCGTCATCAGGAGCTATGTAATGTTGCAAGGCTGCAACTGAAGGAGTGAGAGGAAGTTTTCTCAAAATAGCGCAGTGTGGGTATGTATATATATTAAATAGCACACCAACCTGTGGAATTGTGTCGAGATACATGCTCAAAATGGCAGCGTCACCGAACTCTTTCCAAGCTTCAGCTTTATAATAATTCTTTGCAGCTTCTGCCACGGCTTTCGCCTGCGGTAGAACAAGTTAATGAAAGTAGGATCATTCATAATTACTTCAGGGAGGTTGTATATATCCAACTGAGGGTCTCAGTTGCAGCTACAAACATATAGGAAATCTTTTTTTTTTTTATTAGGGTAAGAGGTATGATGAAACAGACAAATTTTGGATAGATACTTATGAATATTTTAAGGAAAAGTTGTGTGGGAAATACTGAATAAAATCTACTCACCTTCCAGATTGGACTTAACTCATAAATATCATAGTCATGACTGTTATTTATATGACATATAAATAGTTACATGCTGGAAGGTATTTATCTAATGAAATTAATATTGGACTGACAAGAAATTTTAACTGCACTTTTTATCCTGGCTGTAACATCCAATGTACATAATTTGTACAACTTATAAATAGGAAATATATGCAACATTTGGGTATCTTTAGTTGAAAAAAAATTCACCCACCAGAGCGTTATCTAATACAGAGATCTGTGTGTGTGTGTGTGTGTGTGTGTGTGTGTGTGTGTGTGTGTGTGTGTGTGTGTGTTCATTTACTCAGTGGCCACTTTATTAGGTACAGCCTTATAGTACTGGGTAGGGGCTCTCTTTGCCTCCAGAACAGCCTGAATTCTTCGTGGCACGAATTCAACAAAGTGCTGGAAATATTCCTTAGAGATTCAGGTCAATTTTAACATGATAGCACAATGCAGTTGCTACAAATTTGTCGGCAACACATTCATTCTGTGAATCTACCGTTCCATCACATCCCAAATGTTTACATCAGATTCTGACCCTACCATTTACATGTCAGCAGAAATAGCGATTTTGTCAGATTAGGTGATGTTTCTCCAGTTTTCAACTGTCTAGTTTTGGTGAGCCTGTGCCCACTGTAGCCTCAGTATCGTCTTCTTAGTTGACATGAGTGAAACCCAGTGTAGACTTCTGTTGTTTTAGCCAATCCACTTCAAGGTTCAACGTGTTATGTATTCTGAGATCCTCCACTGTTGTAACACGTAGTTATTTATGTTACTGTCATCTTTCTGTTAGTATGAACCTATCTGGCCACGGTGGCCCGATGGCCTGGTGACTAAGAGTTCCCACTTCACACACGGAGGGTCCGGGTTCGATTCCCGGCGGGTGGAAACATTTCGATGTGTTTCCTTACACCTGTTGTCATGTTCACCTAGCAGCAAATACGTACCTGGTTGTTAGTCGATTGGTATGGGTCGCATCTTGGGGAACAAGATTGAGGACCCCAATGGAAATAAGTTAGACAGTCGTAGATGACATACTGACTTTCTTGGGTTATCCTGGATAGCTAACCCTCCGGGGTTAAAAATCCGAAGAAATTCTTATCTTATCTCTCTTATCTCTTTCCTCTGACCTCTCTCAGTAACAAGACGTTATCACCCACAGAACTGCCGTTCACTGGATATTACGAACACATGTAAGAATGCCTGTGAGACCTGGTCGTAATGAGAAATGGAGCAAATAAAACTCATCAGTAGACTATAATTTATATTTACCTTTGCCAGATACATACAGGTATGTGCACTATGTACAATATGTACAGAAAAAATGGTAAGTGTACACCACAGTGACAGATGGCAAAGCAGAAGCCAAAGAATGTGCACCTTGCTTAACCAGTTACCTGGAGTTTACCTGGAGAGAGTTTCGGGGGTCAACGCCCCCGCGGCCCGGTCTGTGACCAGGCCTCCTGGTGGATCAGCGCCTGATCAACCAGGCTGTTGCTGCTGGCTGCACGCAAACCAACATACGAGCCACAGCCTGGCTGATCAGGAACTGACTTTAGGTGCTTGTCCAGTGCCAGCTTGAAGACTGCCAGGGGTCTGTTGGTAATCCCCCTTATGTGTGCTGGGAGGCAGTTGAACAGTCTCGGGCCCCTGACACTTATTGTATGGTCTACTTAACGTGCTAGTGACACCCCTGCTTTTCATTGGGGGATGGTGCATCGTCTGCCAAGTCTTTTGCTTTCGTAGTGAGTGATTTTCGTGTGCAAGTTCGGTACTAGTCCCTCTAGGATTTTCCAGGTGTATATAATCATGTATCTCTCCCTCCTGCGTTCCAGGGAATACAGGTTTAGAAACCTCAAGCGCTCCCAGTAATTGAGGTGTTTTATCTCCGTTATGCGCGCCGTGAAAGTTCTCTGTACATTTTCTAGGTCGGCAATTTCACCTGCCTTGAAAGGTACTGTTAGAGTGCAGCAATATTCCAGCCTAGATAGAACAAGTGACCTGAAGAGTGTCATCATGGGCTTGGCCTCCCTAGTTTTGAAGGTTCTCATTATCCATCCTGTCATTTTTCTAGCAGATGCGATTGATACAATTGTTATGGTCCTTGAAGGTGAGATCCTCCGACATAATCACTCCCAGGTCTTTGACGTTGGTGTTTCGCTCTATTTTGTGGCCAGAATTTGTTTTGTACTCTGATGAAGATTTAATTTCCTCATGTTTACCATATCTGAGTAATTGAAATTTCTCATCGTTGAACTTCATATTGTTTTCTGCAGCCCACTGAAAGATTTGGTTGATGTCCGCCTGGAGCCTTGCAGTGTCTGCAATGGAAGACACTGTCATGCAGATTCGGGTGTCATCTGCAAAGGAAGACACGGTGCTGTGGCTGACATCCTTGTCTATGTCGGATATGAGGATGAGGAACAAGATGGGAGCTAGTACTGTGCCTTGTGGAACAGAGCTTTTCACCGTAGCTGCCTCGGACTTTACTCTGTTGACGACTACTCTCTGTAGCTCAGGCAAGTCTATCAATTCACTTGGCACAAGTGAACTACGTTGCTTCAGCTTTAGCGGACTTGCCTGTGAGTTGGCAGTGAACCAAGGTACTGTTTTAACGACGGGTACCCTATTGATCGTTAAACCCTTAGCACCCGGTTCGCTGGTTGGGAGGCAGAATATATGGGAGAGTAATATACACCGAATAAATTGTAACATACTCTTTTGCATGCCACACTGGATATTTTGTGCGTTTCTTTCTATTCATTGTAAACTTTAGAGACTGTTCTGCATGAAAATCCCAGGAGAGGAGCAGTTTCTAAGAGACTCAACCCACCCCTTCTGGCACCAACAAACGTTCCATAATCACTGTCACCAATTCTGATGTTTTGCCTAAATAACAACTGAAATTCCTGCCCATGTCTGCATTGAGGTGCTGCCACATAATTGGTTGATTAGATGTTTACATTAACGAGCAGATGTACAAGTGTACTTTATATATTTATGTTCGTCAGGCACCACGTTCTGGCAAAAGTCTTCATTCTATGATGGACTGTCTATGGTTCTTGAAGATGTTCCTGGTGAATTTGCTTGAAATGGCTGGCTAGTGCGTCATCATCCGTTGGGGTGGATGCCTATCGAAGGAAAAAGCTGTGTTGTGGTCATAATTTAGATTTCGCGTTCGATTTCAAGAGCTTAATGGACTGTAGTATGCTGAGGCCATCTATCCTCCTATGACTGAATCTGGATTCTGTTAGGGTGAACCGGTTTGTTTGCTAGTAAACGCTTGGACTCGGATTTGTCAGCCATATACATAAACACGAAGGTTTTCACAATGGTTCTTAATATCTCTGTGCTATACCAAGATTATCAGGTCGTTCATGTCTTTGGTGAAGGCTGAGATTATCATTTGGGAGCTCAGGATTAATACGACGTTGCTGACGATTTTTTTTTTTTGATAGGGTTCCCGTCATTGGTGATTGTAGTTTTAGGTAGATGCGTTTGCTGTAGCCTGTTATTGTAGTACGGAGCCTGCTAGCTGCTATTTTGGGGAGGGAATTTTAAGCAGCAGTGACGGAAGCCGGCTGTGCAAGAGCCGGTCATTACTGTTGATATTCGTTCGGCATTCTCCTTCGTTGCAGCAAATTCCGTGGTGCTGTAGCCTCCTCTAGCTGAGGCTGCTGAATCATGATCTCTCTCTGCTCGATGCTGGAGGCTGAACATTCGGGGTTTCCCAAGCTGCACTTCCCCGATACAGATTCTCCCTGCAATTTGACTTAAAGGCATGGTGCTTCTTGCCGCAGTTTGGACACCGAAGTTCCGTGACCTTGTTGAAACGCTTCGCCTTGCTGCAGGCTTCTTCAGCCGAATACAGTAGAAGTAGAGAGGAAGTTTTCAGGTCCTTCGACTGAAGCTTGATGCGAAGCCACAACGTTATGATAATTCAAAGCTTCCCAGGTATTACACATATATCTTATTCATTAACTTGCAGTTATTGTTTTCCATATGTAATATTATAAGTGACAAAGCTCCTGGTGAGCGAAATGTCTTTCAAATAAGGATACCAAGATGTTGCATATGTGTCATATTTAACTTAATATAGTACTGCAGTACTTACATTGATGGCGGATGCCTCGGCGTCAGCCTTCAGTGACTTGGCCTCAGCTTCTGCTTCCACCTCCAGGAGAGTCTTCGTCTTAAGCGCCGTGGCAATGGTCTCCATCCTAAAGAGTTATTACAATAATATACATTAAAATCATTTGGGAATTTGTTACTGGCTTAACCTCTCACCTGCTCTTGTCTCTCAGTCTTTTTTTTTTTTTTTACTGTGTCTTTTAATCTGGCATCGTTATTCATTTTGTGTTGTAAGTCAGCGGTTTGATGCAAGACTAGCTTTAAAGAATAGAGTAAACAGGAGTGAGAAGTAACTGAGAAGGACTTGCCTATCATGGGCAGGGAGGCATTCTGAAATAATCCTCCGTTCTCATTAGAAAACATTGATAAATAGTATTTGAGCAGAAATGGTATCCAATTATGCCACTTCTGATCTTCAATGTTTATCAATTAAACTGTTCTAGTTGTATTCTTTGATATGTAGGAAGTATATCTAGAAACTTGTAAATAAGAATATGTAAGCATAGAGGATTGTCACACAGGACTTCTCACTAAATCAGCTAACACTTTTTTTTTCAACTATAAAGTTACATTCTGGGTCCAAGAATTAGCCACGACGTTAAAATTCAAACAGAGACACAGAAATGATTGTATTTGAGAATTTTAGAAATTTGGATATTAAAGATTTCAACTGTTGGAAGAGGAGATACTAAACAAGAACTAGAAAGAGAGGAAATGTATAAATAACTTAGCAATTATAGTTACACTGTAATTAAAAAGAGGTCAGTGTACCACACCTGTATTTCTCAGCTTCGGCTGGTTGTCTGACGGTCGAGTCCAGTTGCTTCTGACGTCTTGTGATCTCTTGCTCTGCCACCAAGATCTTGCCCTTCTTCTCCACTACCTGTGGATAATACAGACCATCAGTGTCTGTGTATCACAGACCGTCAGTGTCTGTGTATCACAGACCGTCAGTGTCTGTATCACAGACCGTTAGTGTCTCACAGACTGAGAGTCACAGACCATGACTCACGCCATGAGTGCCACACCAGCCATAGTTGTATACTATCAATTTACATAAATTATGCATGGAAAATAGTTGGTTTTGACTGACTATGTAAGAACGACTGTTAAGAAACAAAATATCCAGTCCAGCCTTTTTCAGATATTTTTATTTGGCTATAAACACTCTGGTACATTTCGGATGAAATGGGGCCTTTTAACAAGACACAATATACGGTGTAAAACAATTTAGTGGAAAAACGTTTCGTCCATCAAGGACGAGGAAGGAGAGAGTCCCTGGTGAGCAAAACGTCTTCACAATACCTTAATTAAACTTCACATAGCGTCTTACTAACATACCGTACCAGTTGATACATGCTACCATTGATCTTCACAAATAATATATTACAGTTTAAACTTGTGACTTGTATCGTTGTCTTAATGCAGTAGTAACACTTGCCTGGCTGAAAAAAACACGAATTTCAAATCACCATAACTGACGACCTCAAACCATACCACGGGCGGGATTTGAACCCGCGGTCAGAGAGTCTCAAAACTCCAGACCGTCGCGTTAGCCACTGGACCAGCTAGCCACAATAAGATTCGTCCAACTAGGTATATTTCTACACCATAGGAAGGTTTAGCATAGCACCACTGTGACCACAAATGCAAGTTTTTACAGACGAATCTCCAGCTAGCGTGGTCGTCGTGACGACCTCAAAGCTAGTGTTGTTTATGTCGTCGGTACTTACTCTCAGGTTAAAGATTGTTTTCCAACTCGGTCTGAAGTTTAACCCGAATGTACATTTTTTCCCAGAACTCAGATGATAAATTTGTGTTCTTTACGTCCAGTCTCCCCAATAACCCCTGGATGCATATAGTCTAATGTATACAACGAATGGGATCATTATCTAGACTCCAGAACGGTACAGGAACGACCGTATCATCGTGTAAAATTTCCTCTCTGTACTGCGGGCTAGTTATAAACTGTTCCAGCCAAGATAGTGTTACTTTTATTCTGGAATTTAATGGTATGAAAGAATTCTAGCCCAGCCGTCCTACCCTACCAAAGAACAGAGCTTAAATTAAAGCCACTTGCGTGGGAACGAGTGAGGTCAAGGATCCCAGTGGCAATAAGTCATTTTGATTTCTTTTTTTTGGGGGGGGGTTATTCTAAGTAATTTACATTATGTATAATAATTGTATTTACGTATACCTGTGCCTAAATAAACTTACACACACACTCACAGCTGCTTCATATCTTTGATAGAGAGAGAGAGAACTTACAGGTAATGACTCACAATGGATGAGGAGGTAAATGAGGATATATGAAGAATAGCCGGGAAGAGGAAAAGGTTACAGATAAAAAAGAAACGCCGGGGCAAAAACCCAGCAGAAAAGGGGCACAGAGAGCAAAAAAAAAACTCACAGGTAAGACCCACAAGGAAAAAAACACACAGCTTGGGGCCCACCCCTATGAGGCGGAAAAACATAGCGTTTTTCCCTTTTAAAGCTGGATCAGCGAAAATAAAATACCTACAAGCACTTTAAAAAAAAACAAGTGCAGCACTATTACATTTTATCGCAAATTTCTTTTTTCCCCTAACTTTCCCGCTTTGCCAAATTGGTTTGACAACGCTCGCACGAGTCCTTGTCCTTAAAAAATGTTCCAGTGTTAGCTGAGTCTTTTTATTCTTTATCCCTTTTTTTCCCCTTGCATTAAAATAAAGGGATTGTCCACCAATACAGAAAGAGGATAGAAACTGCAAAGTCAACTTTTTTTTAAAAGTATCGTTCAATATTTCACCCACCAATGGCTTATCAAGTCTAAGGTCCTTAAAAAAACCTTTATGGGGTGAAACACAGTCTTTATTAAATTTTTGCTTTGTAACCGATCCTCTTCTACACCGTTCCCCATTTAAACCTCTTACTACACCTGTTGCCACTATATTTTTTACTACCCTGTTGCCACTAAATCTTACTACACCTTTTTGCCCATTTAAAACCTTTATACACCTTTTCCCACTATACTTTTACTACACCTTTTTGCCCACATACCTCTTATCACTGTTGCCCACTTCCCCTCTTACTACACCCTTTCCCCATTACCTCTTACTACACCTTTCCCCCACTATACCTCTTACAACACCTGTTGCCCACTATACCTCTTATACCCCTTGCCCACATACCTCTTACTACACCGTTGCCCATATACTTTTATTTTCACCTTTTTTCCCACAAACCCTCTTACACACCTGTTGCCCACTTACCCTTACTATACCTGTTGCCCTATACCTCTTACAATCTGTTGCCCACAACCTCTTACACACCTGTTGCCCACTATATCTCTACTTACCTGTTGCTCACAAATACCCTTACTACACCTTTCCCCACTATACCCTTTTACTATCCCTGTTCCAAATCCTCTTACTAACTGTTCCCCACTAACCTTTTACAATACTGTTCTCAGTAAACATTTACCTGATGAGAGCAGTGTTTTGTGCAACATTCGGGCAGTGTGGGAGGTTTAGTGCCCCGGGGTTTACCCGACTGTTTGGTTGCGGGCCTGGGAAAAGGGGATTAGCATATATCTAAGACAGCGATGACCGTGAAATGAGCTAAGGGGAAAACTTTTGCCTGAAAATTCAACAAACAGCCCTTACATTTTTTAAAACGAATCACACAGTCTCACCTTTTTGTCTCCATATTTTCCTCCGAATCTTTTTGGTTGATTTACACACGGGAGTTGGTGCCAATTCGCTTCCCGTTTCCCTCTCAAAAAAAAAAATTTTTAGAAGATACATGCATATATATAAAATATTTTATATTATATAATTTATTTTTTATATATAAAAATATATAAAAATATTATATAAAAATATTTAATAATTATTATATAATATATATAATTATTTTATAAAAATTTAAATATAATAACAGTGGTCCCTCGTTTATCGAGGGAAACCCTTCTGGAACCGGGCGTACGAAATGGTCATTTACAAATCAATTTTCCCCATAAGAAATAATGTAATTAAATTAATCCTTCCTGACACCCAGGTATTAAAAAAAAAAAAATTTTTTACATGAAATATTCATGTATACATAAACAATACAAGGGGAAATGATGAATGAAACTTTAAACACTAACATTTACCTTTATTGGAGATTTTCTTAGTGTATGGGAGACTGGAGGAGGGGGAGGAGAGAGGGGTTTGTTTATATTTGGAAGGGAATCCCCTTCCAAAACCCCTCGGTACCATTTACTTTTCGGGGGTTGCTTTTTTTCTGTTTTTTAATGCCACAAGGACCAGCTTGAGAGCCCACTGGAGTCCTTTTGCAAAATAACTGTCAGAGAGCTCTGTTTCTGGGTCTCTTTAAAACCCCTAAAATGGGCCAAGACTCGTCATGTACAATTTCCGATATGGTTTTGCAACATCCTTCTCTGGGTGAGTTTTTCCAAAATCTTTCCTCTTACCCACATAAAAAAAAAATCCCTAATTTCTGAAAAAGGGCACCTTTTCCATCTCTCTTTTCCTCCTTTTTGCAGCAAATTCAAACTGCGACTGTTGCTCTTCCTGCTGAAGCTCTTGCAGCTCCTAGTGGTTAGCTCTTCGTTGGGCCCTCCACAAACTCTTCCACTCCTCCAAATCCACCAACCCCATGGAACTCCCCAGTGCCACAATGGTTAAAAACTGACAAGGCTCATCAGGGTCACCCCCCAAACCTTTTTTTCTTAAATTCAAGGGAAATTTCACCTTCTTTACCAAAGGTTTGGCACTAGGAGCTTTCTTGGAGCCATGGTAGCATTGGGCATTTAAAATAATTGCAAGCACTAAATAAATAAATATAAAATTTTTTTCACGGGACACGTAAAGGGACCGCCGCTAATGTAAACAAGGGCACACTGGCGGGAAGGAAGGCTGAGGGGGGTCGAGGCCCGCTTACCTCGTGCATACGGCTGGGCGAGGTTGAGACGGTCGATAAACGAATTTCGGTCAATTTCCGAGTCAATATTTTGTCAAAAACCGGGTTGATTTCCGAAATGGCGACTTTCGGGCCCGGTCGTTTTTTGGGGGACCACTGTATATATTTTAAAAATAAAATCCAATAGGAAAAAGTATCATTGAAAAAGGCTCTTTAAAATTAATCCAGTAAAATTTTCTTTATACGTTTACATATTTTATTACATAATAGGGTACAAAATTTTTAAGAGATACATTGTGAACAAAGATGGCATATACAGTACATAGATGAGAGATACATTTTTTAGTACATATCGTTACGTGTTTGTCATTGATTAAATTCAAAAAACTCATCCAGCTCCTCAGGCTGGGCGTGTCCCCAAAATACAGCAGCATTCCCTTCTGAACAGCCACATGAATCACTGGAACAGAAAATACTCCCCGGGGGCCCCTAGTTCCCCTGATATTTTTTCCTAGCTCCTTAAGGAATTTAGATCACTCTTTCCCATGAGCCAAGGCCCCTTGAGCCTATGGAAAAAACATAAATGATGGGAAAGTTCTCCATATTTTTCAACTTTTGGGACTCCCAAAGCGGCAGTGCCTCCTTCCTCCCGGGTGTATTGGAATAGGTATAAAGGTGAGCACATGTACTGTATAGTCCCACACCACCGTTCCCGTCTGTCCAGGCTTGAAGGCATCCCATCGGGACTTTTTTGGCTCCCACTGATCTGCATAGTTGGGGTGGCTCCCTTCTCCCGGCACCCGGGCTTTTGTGAGGCTCCCTTTTGATAATGTTTTTAAACCCTCAGTCTTGAAATCTTTCCCTGGGTTTGGGCACAAAAGCCCAGGGGAAAATCGAACGGTCGGCTGCTTCATGCCAAAAATCACCGTGTTCAGCGAGAATATGGGCGGAAAGTAAAGGGGCAACACCGATCCCCGGAGGGGGGTCAGGGTGTCCCAAGGCTGGAGG